AAAAGGTTGTCGGTGCTCAAGGTAGATAAGTCATTCGGTCCAGACAGAATGCATCCAGACAGGATGAGGGAAGTAAGGGAGAAAATAACAGAGGCTCTGGCCACAATCTTTCAATCCTCCTTGGACACCTGGGTTGTGCTAGAGGACTGGAGGGTTGCAAATGTACAAAAATGGGCAGAAGCATAAACCCAGGGACTACAGGACCATCAGCCAAACATCACTAGTGGGGAAATTTCTTCGGACTATAATCTGGGACAAAATAAATTTTCACCTAGAAACATATGGATTAATAAAGCACAGTCAAGGTGGATTTGTTGAAGGCAAATCGTGTCTAACAAACCTGATAGTGTTTTGATGAAGTAATGGAGAGGGTGGATGAAGATAGTGCAGTTGATGTTGTTTATTTGGATTTCAAAAGGCGTTTGATAAAGTGTCACATAAGAGATTTGTAAGCAAAATAGAAGCCCACGGTATGGATGGATACAGAATTGGTTGGGAGACAAAAAGCAGAGTAGCTGTGAACGGTTGTTTTTCTGACTGGATGGTAATGGGCAGTGGTGTCCCCAGGAGTCAGTATTAGGGCCACTGCTGTTTTTGATCTAGATAAATGATCTTGGACTTGGGTATAGGGAGTACAATTTTCAAGTTTGCATATGATACTACTCAAGGAAACATAGTAAACAGTGAGGATAGTAGCAGACTGCAAATAGACATACACAGACTGGTAAAATGGACAGACGTGGCAGATAAAGTTTAATGTGGAAAAATCCAAAGTGATGCATTTTGGGAGGAAGAATGAGCAGAGGCAATATAAGGTACAGTCTTAAAGGAGTGAAGAAACAGAGAGATCTGCGGTTTCATATAAGTAAATCTTTGAAGGTGGCGGGACAGGTAGATAAAGCTGTTGAAAAAGCATATGTGATACTAGGCTTTATAAATAGGGGCATAGAATACAACAGTCAGGAAGTTATGATGAACCTTTATAAAGCACTGATTAGGCCTCAGTTCTGGGCACCACACTTTAGGAAGGATGTCAAGGCATTGGAGAGGGTGCAAAGGAGATTTACCAGGATGGTACCAGGAATGGAGGACTTGAGTTATCAGCAGAGGCTAGTTTATTAACCCTAAAAACCCTAAGTCTACTTACTCTTCTCAAATTAAAACAAAATACAACAATGGAAATAGAGGCCCTAAACACTAAACTATAACTCCAGCAGCACTTAAATTTATGTTAGTAAAAACAAAGAAACCATTCTCTGGTAGTCCCCCAGAGATCCACACATACCAAATGCTGATCCAAAAGTTCATGACCACGAGGTTAGCCGAGCATCGATCCGGCTCTGCCCACTAAATGACGGGTATGAGATGGGTTTTTCCTGTGCAACTGCATACGTGGTCTTACATGCTTACAAATGTTGCAAGCCAAACCTGGGCTGTTTAGAGGCTCCCTGTCTTGACAGCAATCCTTGTAAGTTTTGTTAGCTCAGAGACTTTTTAAAGGGGCACTTGAGAACATCATATAAGTATTAAATATATATTTAGAATTTTATGTATTAATTATTCACATTTATGGAATAAATGTGGAGTGTAAAATATAAATGTGGAGTGTAAAAATAGGACAGTGTCAAATATCAGGAGATTCCTCTTCAAATATTAGGAGATTCCTCTTCAAATATCAGGAGATTTAAACTATCAAATGATTTACCACAAAATGGTTAATATTCATTTCAATATTAGGAGAATCACCATCAGAAACCATGAAATTTCACCATTAATAACTATGTGATTTCACTTTTAGAAACTGGGCGATTTCACCTTTAGAAACTGGGCGATTTCATCTTTAGAAACTGGGCGATTTCACCTTTAGAAACTGGGCGATTTCATCTTTAGAAACTGGGCGATTTCATCTTTAGAAACTGGACAATTTCACCTTTAGAAACTGGGCGATTTCACCTTTAGAAACTGGGCGATTTCACCTTTAGAAACTGGGCGATTTCACCTTTAGAAACTGGGCGATTTCACCTTTAGAAACTGGGCGATTTCACCTTTAAAAACTGGGCGATTTCACCTTTAGAAACTGGGCGATTTCACCTTTAAAAACTGGGCGATTTCACCTTTAGAAACTGGGCGATTTCACCTTTAGAAACTGGGCGATTTCATCTTTAGAAACTGGGCGATTTCACCTTTAGAAACTGGGCGATTTCACCTTTAGAAACTGGGCGATTTCATCTTTAGAAACTGGGCGATTTCACCTTTAGAAACTGGGCGATTTCACCTTTAGAAACTGGGCGATTTCATCTTTAGAAACTGGGCGATTTCACCTTTAGAAACTGGGCGATTTCATCTTTAGAAACTGGGCGATTTCACCTTTAGAAACTGGGCGATTTCATCTTTAGAAACTGGGCGATTTCACCATTAGTAACTAGGCCATTTCACCATTAGAACCTGGGCGATTTCACCTTTAAAAACTGGGCGATTTCACCTTTAGAAACTGGGCGATTTCACCTTTAAAAACTGGGCGATTTCACCTTTAGAAACTGGGCGATTTCACCTTTAGAAACTGGGCGATTTCATCTTTAGAAACTGGGCGATTTCACCTTTAGAAACTGGGCGATTTCACCTTTAGAAACTGGGCGATTTCATCTTTAGAAACTGGGCGATTTCACCTTTAGAAACTGGGCGATTTCACCTTTAGAAACTGGGCGATTTCATCTTTAGAAACTGGGCGATTTCACCTTTAGAAACTGGGCGATTTCATCTTTAGAAACTGGGCGATTTCACCTTTAGAAACTGGGCGATTTCACCTTTAAAAACTGGGCGATTTCACCTTTAGAAACTGGGCGATTTCATCTTTAGAAACTGGGCGATTTCACCTTTAGAAACTGGGCGATTTCATCTTTAGAAACTGGGCGATTTCACCTTTAGAAACTGGGCGATTTCATCTTTAGAAACTGGGCGATTTCACCTTTAGAAACTGGGCGATTTCATCTTTAGAAACTGGGCGATTTCACCATTAGTAACTAGGCCATTTCACCATTAGAACCTGGGTGATGTTACAGTCAGTATGTGGGAGATTTCACCATCAGTGATGAAATGAGATTTTGCTGTCTGTAACCGTGAGATTTCAATATCTATTGGAAAACTAACATATTAAGGGGGAAGCAGACAGTTTGAAATCAGAGTTTGTATTTTATTCAGGGTTTGGCTGAGATTTAAGTCTGTCTCTGAGTGTGGACAGTACACGCAAAGCAATCACAGACAAACATCAAGTGCAGGTCATTGCAGAATGTTAAGCTACAATTGTGCTTTGCCATTGGTTCCTGCTCGGATCACATGCCTGCTCAGAGGCCATCTCAGTGGCATCCAGTGACTGTGAGGAGCCCGACAGAAAGTGCGGAGGGTGAATGATCGGCACTGAGTGAACCAAGTGAACCTCAGATGACAAAGCGGATGGAGCCTGGCAGCTGCTGTGACATCAACTCAGACTCATCAAACTAGCCCATAATACGCCTACACTGCCCTGAACCTTACCAGTCCCATTTTGGAAGTTGGTTTCTTCTTGAGAACGGCAGCAACCAAGTGGCAGATTATACCGGGATGCCAGGTCAGGTGTAACAGAATTACCAAATCTGCATTTGGTCCCTACGCACAGCCCAGCTCCTCACAGAGACTCAGGCAATATTCTGAGCTCACAGTCCAGGCTGACACTGTGGTGCAGTGCTGGGATTAGAGCTGCAATGTCAGAGGCGCCGTGGTTCAGATGAGCTGCTAAACCGAGGCCACGTCTGTGTCTGTGTGTATCAGCCTGACACAGTGGTAGCACTCCGAGTCAGAAGGTTGTGAGTTCAAGTCAGGACTTGGAATCACATAGTCTAAGATGACACTCCAATGCAGCGCTTGGCGTATGTAGCAATATCATGTGCCATCCTTCGGATGAGACGTTAAACCGAGATCCTATCTGCCTGTTCAGTTGAAAGTCCAGGATCCCTTGGCACTATTCGAAAAGAGAAGGAAGTTTTTCCTGGTCAACAGTCCCCCAAATAAAATTGTTCACTCGCACATCAGTGTTCCACAAACATGGCTGTTTGTGGAACACTGCTGTGTGTAATTGTGCTGCTGCTTTTTGCCCACAAAATACACAGTCATTCCACTTTACAGTATGTCCTGTACAATACTTTGAAAAGCGCTTTGTGATGTCGCAACAACATGATAAGGTTCTATATCAAATACAAGGATTATTATAGTTTGGTAAATGTTAAAGATCCGAACCTCTCTTTACCTCCCTCCCCTTTACCCTTCCCTCCTCGCTCCTCTCCCCCTACTTCTCTCCTTCTTCCATCTTGGCCCCATTCCTCTCTGCTTTGAAACCCATCTAAAGAAACCTCTCTTTGATTATTTCTTCTACCCCCCCAGCTCAGACCCCACAGTGTCGTTGTAAAGTGATTTGAAACTTCCCTGTGTCAGTGTAAATGTTACTCAGGGATGTTATGGGAGTGGGGGCAGGGGAAGGGAGAGATCTGCAGACACCCCGAGTGGCTGAACACAGGGATGTCTGAGACACACCGTGATCCTAATTCACTAAGCATCTATTAAGCACCATGTTGCCAATTAACATTGCAAATTATTTACTGGGGATGTACATTTCAAATGTGCTTTATATTGTGTGTACTATATAGATAATCGCATTCTGAACCGGGTCTGCTACATTAAACACACTGGTTAGATTAGTTCATACATGTGAGGGCTTCTCGTTTCAACCTGGGAGACATTTCCTCTGAAGCTCTGGATGGGTGGAACCAGCGATGATCTCTGGACTGAAATGTGATGATGTCCCCCCCGATGTCCAACCCACCCCCCAAAAAAAGAATTACGGGAATACGCATCAGCCTTATCAAATCACCGGATTTTCAGATTTGAGGGAGGAATCTCAGAGTGAAATAGTTTTCCTGGGGAAGATCAGGTGGAAACTATTTTACCGGGATATTCCTTCTGTGGGTGGGAGCAGAACAAGGCTGACTATCTGGCTGAGCTGATACTTCGGTACTGGCACAGGAGCAGGTGTCTGAAGGTCTTCTTGAAGGTGGTGTTACACAGAGCGTAGCAAGCAGGGTTGATGGTGCTGTTGATGTAGCAGAGCCAATAGCCGATGGTCCATGCTGTGTTGGGAACACAACTGGAGCAGAAAGTGTTGATGAGGACCATGACATTGTAGGGGGTCCAGGTTACAATGAAGGCCAGCAGGATGGCCAGGATGGTCCGCGTCACCTTCCTTTCCCGTGTTGCGCAACCCCGCTTCTTGGTGGGCACCTTGGTGAGTTGGATGACCTGGTGAGCAGCCCTGCTCTCACACTGGCTGGACAGGATCTCTACTGCGGCTGTATGGTTCCCGGCAACTGCGGTGGTGGATGGTGAGTAACTGTCCTTGGGAGGTTTGGTAATCATCTTAATGCAGGAGAGTCTGGAGCTGGCCATCCTGTTGGGGCTGGGTCCCGACTTGCATCTCCCCTCTGGTGGGTTTGAGGGGAGAACGCTGAGAGAGTTCGAGGAATTGGAGGCCTCTTTTTCCTCCTGCTGCTCACAGCTCACATCGCCCTTGCCATTCTGCATTGCCCTCTCGTTGCTGGTGCAGTTGGCCTGCTCTCCCTGGGCCGGGCCAGCCAAGGCCATGGGCTCCTTCCTGCCCTTGTAGACGCGGCTCCTGCTGGCTCGAGAGATGTGGACATACAAGCCAGTCATGATGGCCACGGGGAGGTAGAAGGCGGCGATGGCAGTGCCGAAGGTCACAGTTGGATTGGAGAAGAACTGAACATAGCACTCTCCAGCCCGGACAGTGCGGCCACCCACGATGAACTGCCAGAAGAGGATGGCGGGTGCCCAGAGCACAAAGGACAAAACCCAGGCCACTGCAATCATTATGCCCGCCATCTTAATGGTCCTTCTGATGGGGTAACTGAGGGGTTTGGTCACACAGAAATAACGATCAAAGCTGATGATCAGGAGGTTCATGACGGAGGCATTGCTGACCACATAGTCCAGAGCCAGCCAAAGGTCACACACCACGGGTCCCAATGGCCAGTAACCAATGACGATATAGACAGTGTATAAGTTCATGGAGAAAACCCCAATGATGAGGTCGGCACATGCCAGACTGAACAGGAAATAGTTGTTGATGGTTTGTAAATGCCGGTTGGTTTTGATTGAAACCATCACCAAGATGTTTCCGATGATGGTCACCAGACTGAGTGAGCCAGCCACCACTGCGATGAAAACCACCTCCATTGCCTGGTATGGTCCCCCGCCCCCCGTGAGGAAGGTCCCTGTGAGGTTCCCGAGGGAGGCGTTGGACTGGCTGGAGTTGGACATCTCTGGCCTCAAGCTCGTGCTCACACTGCACTGATCTGCAAACAGAGATACATTCACAATGGTACAAGGCCAATCCCAAAGCTACTCAGTCTGAGCTGATAACTGAAAGTCAGAATCAGGTTCACCCTCTGTGACTGTCTCTCATCTGGTTCCTGAGCCAGGCAGATCCGCAGTACTCCAGGGCACTGCTGATGACAGCGCAGCCTGCAGACCAGTCACAGGGGGGAAGGGAATCCTTCCAACTCAGTTCCTGTTAACGATGCAAGCCAAAGCCTGAATGGGTAGGGTGGTCCTCGCTGAGCAACCAATGGGAAAGCTTGTCAGACAATGCTCTCAATGGCAAGTTTGTAGTTTTACTGGTTAAACTCTACAACAACAACAACAAGATTCCATTTATAAAGCGCCTTTCACGTCAGGAAAGGCGCTGCACAGTTGGGTCATGACCCGAGCAGGGGGGAAATGGTCAGGGTGAGGGGAGGGAAGGGAGGGAGCGAGGAGGGGGGAAATGGTCAGGGTGAGGGGAGGGAAGGGAGGGAGCAAGGAGGGGGGAAATGGTCAGGGTGAGGGGAGGGAAGGGAGGGAGCGAGGAGGGGGAAGAGAGTCGAGACGGGAGCTGAAGGCACGGTCAAAGAGAAAGGTTTTGAGACCGGCCTTGAAGGAGGAAAGGGAGGAAGCAAGGCGAAGGCACTGGGGGATGGAGTTCCAGAGCCTGGGGGCTGAGAGGCTGAAGGCCCGACCACCGATGGTAGGGCGGTTAAACTCTAGCAATTACCCCACACTCTAGGGTCCCCAAGCCTTGGCTCTTACCAATCTGCGCCTAATACTGTCCAGAATTAGATAAGCAGGATACATTTCTCTGGGGAGAGAGTGTGCATTCCAATCCAAACAACGAAATCTCCATGCACCTTACATATATTGGAGACTTTTATGCACAGTGATGGGTTTCTGAGTGTGGCAGACATACACCAACTCTACTTTCTTATGGATGGGACATTAACCAAGACCCTATTTGTGCCTGTCAGGTCATACATTTTGGCAAGCGGTTTCTCCTCCCTCCCCCACCCATTCACCTGCGGGATACCCCTGGGCTCCATCCTTGGACCCCGTCTTTTCCTCATTTACATGCTCCCTCTTGGCTATGTCATCCACAGACACGGGATTAACTTCCACATGAATACGGATGACACCCAAATCTACTTCTCCTCTTCCTCCTCCAGCTGCGACTCCCAGTCCACTGATATCCTTTCAACCTGTTTGATGGACACCAAGGCCTGGATGAGTCCAAATTTCCTGCAGCTGAATGTTGGCAACACAGAAGCCGTGTTGGATCCCATCAGTGTTTTCTTTCCTGCAGGTCCGAACGCCTTAAACTCTCAGTGTTCTCCGTCAGACTCACCAAACCCGTTTGCAACTTAGGCGTCAAGTTCAATCCCCAGCTTTCCTTTCTACCCCATATCCGTTCCCTGACCTGGATCGCTTCCCACCTCCGCCACATTGCCCGCCTCCATCCATACCTCACACCCACAGCAGCTGAAAGCCTCGTCCACGCCTTTGTCACTTAACTGGTTGAACTATTCAAACACCCTCCCCGCTGATCTCCCCAGCTCCACCAAACACAAAATCCAATTCATTCAGAACTTGCATCCCAGCACCTGCACAAAACTCTGTATTCCCCACCACACCAGTCTTTGCCAGGCTGCACTGACTCCCAATTACCGAACGGATCTACTTCAAGGTCCTCTCACTTGTTTTCAAATCCCTTCATGCCCTCGTACCTCCCTACCAATCCGAGCTGTTTACACTATCTGCTGCCTCTGCTCAGCTGGCTCCGAAAACCTGTTCTTCCCTCGCCCCCTCCGCTCAACCATCGGTAGCCATGCTTCCAGCCACTACATCTGAAGCTCTGGAACTCTATACTCAGTTAATCTGCTCTGCCCTCTCCCTCCTCACTTTCAAATTCTGCCTAAAGACCTTTCTTTTTGATCGTGCTTACGGTCACTTCCCCCCTCTCTACCCCTGGCTAGGAGTCAGACTCCACCACTGTCAAGCGCTCTGGGACGTTACCTTGTGTGAAGGATGCTATATAAATTGTTGTTGTTGTGAATCCTGCGAAGTGTCGGAAACATTTTATATGAAGGACACCCTCACTATTTATCAGTGCTGATCAGCCAGGCACTGCTGCCGTCAGAGGCAGTTAATCACAGAGTTTGGGGGATTTCATCCTAAGCCTGTGCTATGCGAGTAACCAAGGACTGCATGTTTTTTAAAACATTCCCATTCCTTGTGAATTCTGACACTGAATCTAATTCCCAGCAGAACTCAGTGAGATGCAAAGCTCCCTGAGGTGGGTGGAGGGAGGGACAGAAAGATTTCTGCATCTTTCCCAAACACACAAGGCCAAAGAGTAGACTGTGTAACCCATTCACTATCTGCACTAAACCCCAATGGCTTCTTACTCTGCCCCATGTCGAACCTTCAAGAAGAAGCATTTGGTGACTTTCACAAAGCAGGCAGCGTATGCGGCACACAGGAACATTGTGCGTAATTCACTGCTAATCATCCACCAACGTCACCACAGGAGAGCTGCAAAACGGGATGCACATTCTCAGCTTCTGTCAGTCTCCATTGAACATTGCCACTGACGTCATCTAATCAGCCTGTCTCGTTCGTTGTACATGAAGTATACAACAACAGTTCGCACTCAGGGCAGCATCTCAGTGCACTTAACAGTGGCAGAGCATGACGCCGGGGTGTGGGGGATGGTGACCATAGGCACGGTCGAAGCGGAAGGTCGATCTGAAGATGAGGAAGGAAGGGGCAAGGCTGTTGGTTAGAGGAAGAGTGTTCCAGAGTTTTGGGTTGCAGTGGCAAATGTTTCGGCTGCATCTGAGGTAAGTTACAGTCGAAGGTGGGCAATGTGGTGAAGTTTGAACCAGTCTACAACCTGGACAGCTGTCCTTTTCACCCCACATCCGGTCCCTGACCAGGACCACATTCGTCCATGCATTTGTCACCTCCCACCTCAACTACCAAATGCGCTCCTTCCCAGTCTCCCCAGCTCCATCATCCACAAAATCCAGTTAATCCAAATCTCCATTGCCCGCATACTCACCCGCACTAAACTCCGTACCCCGAACACACCAGTTCTAGCCAGGCTCCACTGGCTTCCTATCACCGAATGGATCGACTTCAAGATCCTCTTCAAATCCCTTCATGCCCTGGCACCTTCCTATCTCTCCAACCTGCTTACTCCCCAAACCACTGTTATTGGGGAGTAAGCAGGTTCTCTCTCTCTCTGTAATCAGGGTTTCCTCTGCCTCCTCATCCTCCTGGACCTCTCCGCCATGATCAACACAGACCACCATACTAACCTCATCTACCGCCTTTCCTCCATCATCCACCTCAAAGGGACCACAGTAACCTGGTTCAAATCCTACTTAAGAAACTTCTATTATTTTGTTTCTTCAAATGGTTTCTTCTCCCCCGCACCCCCGCTCCCCCCCCCCCCCTCACCAACCAGGAGGAGTGGGTGGATATTGAGACAGCCCTGGATTTCAAGGGGCAGGGGAGTTGAGGATTGCAGAGAGGTGTTCGTTTAGCAGCTTGATGGCTGCATCAGAATCACTGCAGGTGGAAGGCCAGAGAGAGAACAGATCCAAGAAAGAGTTTGTGAGAGGCTTGGGTGGAAGCTTTTTCCAAGATTGGAGGGCTTGGAAGAGTGGAGGAGGATGAGGGAGGAGAGGGAGGTGAAGAAATGGTCTGACATGGCCTTGTCTTTAATGGACAAATTGGACTTATCAAGGCAGTGAGTGATGACGAGGTTGAGGAGATGGCCACAGTTGTAGGTTGAGAAGTTTATGTGGAGGGTGAGGTTTAATGTGGAGAGAAGGTCAGTGAAGTCAGAGAAGGTGGAGCAAAAAGAATATAGGTGGAGGTTGAAAACACCCATTATGCCCAGGTGTTCAGTGCAGATACGGAGGGATGAAAGGAGGGTGAAGATGTCAGAGATAAAGGAGCTGGGCAGTTTGGGAGGACGATAAATAAGGAGCAATTTGATGGTCAGGGACGGTGGTACAGGGTCAAAAGATGGGAAGGAACTGGAGGAATAGGGGGATAGACTGAGTAAAATTTGGGAGATAAGGGTCACCTCACTGCCGCAATTATTGGGGTGGGGGGTGTAGGTGGTAGGGGGGGGGCTTTGACCAGGGGGACAGGATCACCGGGAGATGGCCAGGTTTCAGTGAGCCCAAGAATGTCAATGTGTTATTCCAGGATGAGGTAATGGATCGTGAGAGCTTTATGGAGAGGAAGCAAACATTTTGGAGGGAAATGTGAGTGGGTGTGCTGGTGGAGAAAGGCTTGCTTTTGACATCCACAATGGTTTTTGAGTAAAAGGCAGTTTTGGTCTGTGAAAGGTGATAGGTGTGGAGATACCTGAGCCACAGCTGGTGGTGAATTGTGAAGCCAGATTTGCGCCATCTGGCTTGAGCATCCAGGTTTCGGTTTTAAGGCAGAGGAGGTGACTGTTATACCAATGGAGTGGGTGGATTTGGATTTCAAGAGGGCAAGGGGTGGAAGGTTGCAGAGTGGCATTCGTGCAGCAGATCCCTCACTGCACACAGCCTGTTTCTCCAGTGTACACAGTACACAACAACAAATTACATCTGTGTGTACTGTGACGGATCTGCTGAACAATTGCACGTTTCACTCACTGTACACACAGTACACAACCGACAGTATGTCACACTCACACTTACACTCATGCAGGCCTAGACGCTTGCTCGTACTGACCCAGACATGCGCTTGCTCTGGCCCAGATGCCCAGATGTACGCTTACACTGAGAGACACCTCACACTAAGTCACACATTGAGATATATGCTTGCACTGAGACACGGGCTCGCACTGAGACACACTCTCGCACTGAGACACGCGTACACACTGAGACACGTGCATACTCCGAGACGTGTGTACGCATCAAGACATGTGCACACACAGAGATTCGGGAACACACCAAGACATGCACACGCACCGAGA